TTTTAATTTTTAATTTGTAGATAGACCTTAAATCACTTATATCTTTGTCGACTGAAAACATCACTATTTATGAATCTTCGCTGTCTTTTGTGCACATTGGACCAAAACTAAATGTCCTAGAACCACAATTAATGGAGCCAATGGAACTAAAAGGATATTTGATAAAAAAGTAAAAACTATTTCCAACAATCTCATATATTTTGCAATACAACTATAATCACGATTTAAGATATACAATATGTTATTCAACGGCATATTATAGAAATCGATCTCCAGTGTGATGCTCACAGTTTATGCTAAATGTTCTAGGAAGAATTACAACTAGGCATTCTCAGTATATATAATTATAAATGAACATAGGCATAAAATGGGGGGAGTGCTCTAAGGAGGCTATAGATACTTTGGAATTTTGTTTAGCCCTCAATCCCACACATTTTTTTATGGTTACAATTTTAGAATATAATTTGTTGTGTATCAGAAACTTAATAATATTATGATATAGGCTATAGCCCTCCTATATAATTTCATCACACTACACCTATGTATATGCATCAAATTAAAAAAAAAATAAATACATTATTTAACTACATTAAATTTTGTTTGGGGGCAAGATGCTCTTGTCACAGGCTGTAGTCGAAGATAAACACTGGGCATCAAAAGAATTGTTGAGTAACCATTATATCTTTAATCGTGGCTATAACTAGGAGGCTGTGTAAAATTTAATCATAGGTCTGAATGCGTACATTTTGTATATATAAATTATCCATATTTAAATGAAAATTATACAAATAATTGGAATAAAAGCAATAAATGTGATATTTAGTGTCTATTGTTATTTATCATAATATATTTTGTGAATATTATTTTTGTTATTTATTATATATTGAAACTTCTATTGAACAAATTTGTTTTGTTCATGTTGAGACTTTGTAACATGGAAGTTTTACAGTATTTTTAAATATTGAAGTATGCAATTAAGGAAAAAAGAACTCAAATAACAGTTTTTGTTCAGTTATAATATTTTGGAATTCTTCTTTTATTATATTTTATTAGTAAATTACATATTATTATGGGTTTTAATCAAACTGATTATTGCATTGTTGGGTATTAAGGTTAATAGTTAATACCCCAAACAAATGCTTTTACACTGCAAAAATTTAAAAAAAACACCTATACATATACTTAAATATTTTTATACTAAACATGTAAACTAATAAAATATTTTTCATTTAATTTCAAAAATATTTTGCAGGATTGCAAAATTCCAAGTCCTCTATGTGCACTTAATCTAAAAAAAGAATTATTCACATTTAAATTTCCATCTCCGTTAAAATTTTTATTTTTACGTTGAATGAGTCGATTTGAAAAATTATGATTAATTATGTTCAATTAGATAAAAAAAACCTTACATTATAGTTCAGTTTTTTTAGTAAAAATCTTAAAATAAAACTCCTTATTCTGATTTAAGAATACATGAAATGTGTAATAGAAGAACATTGTACAACTATGGAAAACAAAGTCATAGATATAATATACAACAATTATAATAAATAGCTGTCTTTATACTACAGTTGTAACCTATGTTGAAGTCAATTGCTATTTATAAAGTAGGTAATGTTTACATTTATTTTACATTTATTCATATACATATACTGTGATAATATTATTTTATAAACATTGCCTGCTTTGTAAATGGCGGCTGACTACGATGATAAGAAAGAAATGGCTATCTAGTTGTTGTATATATCTATGCAAACAGTGCAAAGCGCATCAAAATCCCAGCCCTAATTATTATATATTATGGAAGGTGTACATAGGACTGACAGATAGTAGAATAATCCAACACAAATAATTACATAAATCGAGTATAATAAATTAATATTTGATAATAATGTAATACTAATAATAGTTTTTTTTTATAAATATGTAAAAAAAAAAATTAATAAACATTATCATACCCACTTTACTTAAAAAAAATATAGTGAAATGATAATACTAAATATCTAAACCATTATTGTTTTTTGAATATTATATATAAAATATATGTATTTTAAGTGACTATAACTATATCATATTATATATTATAAAAAAAACATTGCACACATTTCTATAAAATAAACTAGATGAAGATAAATAAAAAGGATAGAACATAATTTATAAATATGTATACTTTAAAGATATAATCTTATTATTTATTAAGGTGCAATATAAAATAACTATTAATATAAATTTATTATAATTAGCATGTGCTTCAGAATCTCAGACTGTCTAGTTTCAATCATATTTTTATATTTCAAAAACAAAGATTTATATTTATTTCTCTGAATAAATTATTAACTTTGATTATGTTACAAAATAATGGTGAAGTTAACGAGTTAAATCATAATTAAAATTTATAGATGTAGTATTAAAATATTAATTTTCTCATTGTGTAAATGTGTAATAAATTGATAAGCATAAAAATGTTGTGGTTGTAATACATTTTACCGAAATGTTTATATAGAAAGAAAAGAATTATTATTAGAATATAAGTTTTGAAACACTCGATCACATTGAATTTAAAAAAATGAAATTCATTCCACAAAATAATTTTCATCTCTTATCATAATATGCTATTAGTAGAAAAATTGTATTTTATATAAAAAAAAGTGTTAAGCGTTAATATTTATATAAATACACATTTATGGGGTATAGTCAAATTATAAATATAAAGCATACATATTTTTAACAAAAAAAAAAAAATTATATATTATATATATTAAAATAAAATTACAAGTATAAAATTGCAAACATAATTTTAACACAAAAATAGTTTCATTAAACATATTAAAATAAATACCAAACAGTCTCCATAAATGCGTAAAAAAAATTATTAAATATTATGTTAAATGAGTATTCTATTTCTTTGGAAGACTAGTAACAAATATAAATAACTTATATTGATTTCTAAGACAATTTGCATACCTCTCTTATTCAATATTTAAGTATAAATTTATAATATATTGTGACCAACATTGCCTACATAAGTTTAATTTTTTTTTATAACCTATATATTTTAATGTCTTGAGTTTTTATTTCCTATAGTTACTGCACATTGTATTTTTAATATTATTACTGTTTGATCTATTTCCAGGTCTTCAAATGCAAGTATTAAGTACTAAGTGAACATATTATAAATGTTGGATATAATGTAACCAACATTGATTGCACAAATCAAATTGTTTGTATAACCTATATATTTTAATGTCTTGAGTTTTTATTCCTTATAGTTACTGCACATTGTATTTTTAATATTTTAATGGTTAAAAGAGGATTTCAATTTATTTTAAAAATGTGTAATTATCTTCATTATTCACATAAAAACAATTCTTTGTTATGTCTTTTTTATTAAATCACATTAAACGAAACACAATAGGAAAATATTGAGGTTGTGTTTTGTTTTTTAATTTTAGTTAAAATATTGAGAGCATATTATATATAAAATTATTATATGAGTAATACATAATATTATGTAATATAAACTTAGGTCTAATGATTATATTATCTTGTACAAAAAGTGTAAAATGTAAAATAAAAAAATGTTGTATGTTTATAAATATATTTGTTTACAATTTGTTTAAAACAAAATTATACCAATGTTGAGCAATATAAATCTGTTAAAAAACCTGATTTTATTAAATTTATTTGTATACATTTATATTACCTTGAGTTATAATAAAACAATTTAAAAAATATATTATTCATTCATTCTTTTAATACATATTTTTAAGTAAATTTAGTCATAAAAATATTGTATTATTATTAATTGTTTGTTTTAATAAGTGTTTTAAATAAGTTTGTTTTCCTTAAAAAAAAAAAAACATGGTTATAACCACCATTAACTATGAAAATCATAAATTTTTGAGTAGCCTTACAAGGTGCACTGATTATACTAAATTATAAGTATGTATGTATAAAAATTATTCATAATAATAATAGTATAAATGGTACACTATGGAAGAAATTGATCTTTATCATTACTAAGTAAATCTATCAATAATATCTATATTATAAAATATAATATTATCTTTAGCTGTACTACTGTTCACCTAAAAAATATAATGTTATCCTATCACTACAATCATAATATTATCTTAATTTGTTGTTCAAACATGTTTCAAAAACAAAGGAAATATTTCACTAGATATATAAAATAAAATGGAATCGATCATAATATAGTAAGATTCACTATACAAGCATTTGTCATTGGGTATATTTTGGACCAACATTTATCGACAACAATGACGAAAGTGTGTTAGATAAGTTAAATTCATGATTATGAAATTATGAATTATATACCATTAAATACATTGAAAATCGGTAAAACTGGATTTAAAGGAAATCAAACTGTATCAATATATGGAAAATTGACACTTACAGTGAAAAAATTGTGAGATTGGAAGGTATTTAGGTATGATACTAATAACTTAAATTTAAACAATTACCTATACTCTGTCCAAAATGAGATGAGGACTCGGCGGCAACCAGTTTTTCGTCGGGCGGCGGTCAGACATAAGGTCAGAAGCTGTCCCCAATACAGCGACGCGTCGGGCGCTGCAATGGAACAAAGCCGCGCACATGCGCACAACTGGGCCGCTGAGTCATCATCTCATTTTGAACAGAGTATATAAGTGATTAATTATGATGTTAAGATTTCAATTATTTTACTCTATACGTATTTATATTATAATTATGTTTAACAAGTAGAATCAATGAGATTGAGACTTGTTTGAAATATGTTATTATTTAAAAATAATAATAAAAAAAAACTTGGGTACATATCATTTAACTATTTGATTAAACATTATTATTGTTTATTGTTATATATATATATTAATATGTATGTTTAAAATATCCCATAGTATTTATAAGCACACCTACTATTTTTTATTTTAGTTTTATTTGCCCATTTGGTAGTACACACATATTCGAAGATATAATATTATTGTTTATTATACTCATTAATATTCCCATTTTGTGGCATTGTTATAATCTCCATCGCCAAGTTTAAACATTCCATTTTTACCAGCAGAAAGATAATAACCCGTAACACTTTTAATGCATATTCTAGTTGGTTCTCTCAATTCAATAAAAAATCCTTCAGGTACATCAGATTCCACAGAAACGCCTTCGTCATTTGCATGCCAATATTTGTTAGTTTGACCTAAATGAAAATTAGTAGAAATAACAATAAATTCTTTAATCAAAACCTTATGATAATACCTTTAAAAAATACAATTCCTTTATCAGACCGTTCAACTTGTATAGTCTCATATGATGCCTTGTTGCATTCGAGACGTAAGCTTGATGATGACTTATAACCAACGAATCCTTGGTCACATTTTAATACCAATATTGGTCTAAGAAATAAATCAATACTAATGTTTAATACAGGTGCTTTAGTAATTTGGAAATCAAAAACATGTCAAATATCAATGTGAGTACATACCTGTTTATGAGGTAAAAGAAATACTTGCAAGCGTCATCAATTGCATCAACATTTGCATACAGATGACCAGACCGCTTTGTAGAGACATATTTACCGTTGTTCGCACGGAAGCAAACCGACCCATCCCCCTGCCATGCCAACTCAAATAGTGCATTCGACGATCTATTTTTTTTTTTTATAAAAACAATAGATTCATTAATTATTATAGTATGATCAGATATGAATACATATTAAATATTATATTAAATTTGCGATTTATGTTAACTGTAAAGTAATACGAAAGACGAATAATTTACATACTTCTTATCGGCAACAGCTTGTATTCCACCTCCGGTTTCGAGAGTCCAATACCTGTCCTGCATCGTGCGTATGTACCATCTTTTAGTGGAAGGATCGAATTCCAGTTGGAAAGTCTCGTGATCGGATATTTCGTCTTGGTTGGCTGTTACATCCACCCCTGCAAACGGATTATATTTATAAAAATAAAATATTACTCTATAAGAAGCCATTGAAATTGATTCCTATATTAAATCGGTAGGAATTAGGTTCCTACTAGCTACTAGTGATAAAATACCTGGATATTTCATTTAATTTAAAAACAAAACGACAAAAATAAAATAGCTGATATTATAAATAGATCCATTTATTTTAACTCAACAATTTTTAAATCTTTACTCAACAACAAAATGATAAACGAGTAAATTAGCAAGTTCGAAGTTCGATTACGAGGACGCTTACCCGCATGGCGTGTTGTATCCGTCCTACAAATGTAAAACATTGCAAAAACTGTTTTTACATTTGTAAGAAGGAGACAAAATTTTAAATTTCCAAACCTATATGGCCATATAGGGCCAGGCCCATATATATCATAATAATAATTATAATATAAGCTATAATATTATTATTATAGCATAAACACTGAAATTGTTTTTTTAACAGATTTAAGACTAGTCTTAGTCGTTACTCTTGATAGGTAAGTTAGGTAGTACTGGGATAGGTGATAGATCTATTCGCTCTAATATAAAAACTAACGAAGCTAACGTCAAGTCGTGAACTGCAAGGCTGGACGTAAATAATATATATGCAATAAATAATTGTTAATATGCAACCGCAAGAGCAAGACAGAGACAACAAATGCAGGTTAAAGTCCGAAATTTTTAATGTGATAAGATAAAATGTAAACAGAACAGATTTTACAATAACCTAATACAAATTAATTTAGTTTTAACGAAATGAGAAGTCGTAAACGTTATACTATAATACTATTTAATTTTATTTAATTTATTTAAAATTAAATATAAAGTTAATGTTTTATGACTAATTTTAGTAGATAACTATCATACACCTAAGTTTATTCATACCACCAGACTGATTACAATTACAATTAAATTAATTGCTCTGCTCGGACTATTTATTTTAAATGTATACCTATGAAGACTATCCATAATACTCCCTGCTGTTAAGTTAATAAAATTGTTACATGAATAAGAAACGTAGGTAATGCGAAATACAAAATTTCCAATTCTTAAAACAACGTAGTACTATTTGAATGTGTTCAGTAGACTGCACAATGGTTTAACTATAATTAGCTTCATTAACAATGGAGAAGAGAATTTAGTAAGCTTTTTGCACAGTTATCCATCTAAACATTTTAACCGTTCTAAATACCTAGTCCGGACGTCTGAATGGCATAAACAAGATCATGTTACTCACAAATAAAATATTTCATTTTCTTTAGAAAATATTTTTGAAAATGTTTATGACAAGTGTATTATAGAATCTGCTGCAATATAATTGTATATTCAAGTTTTAAGTATGGTATTTTTGTAATAAGTTTCGTCAGTCTTTAATTTCTTAAACGAAAAATTATATATTATCAATTATTTTAATTAGTCATAATAATAATGTATTATATTCTTAGTTTAGGTAATTTAGGTTTGACAGTTGACACACCAATAAAATAAAACCGTATGATGAAAAACCGAAAAATATGATGGGTAATTAATAGCTAATCAAACGTTTAAATGTATAATATACAATTAATACAAATTATTTTTTAATGAATATTAACTATTAAGTCGAGTATATCTGTATATATTTTTATCTTTGTATAATATATATATTATTTAATATAATTATTACTAGGTAATTAATAATATTTAATGGGCAATATATTTTATTTATGTACAGGAATGAGCAGTATCCAAGATACATGAATTATAGATACAATTGTATATTGTATCACAATACAATACCTACTGAAAAGTATCCAGTACTTTGTTTTATACTTATGTTTATGAGGTATCCTTATTCTTTATAATATATCGATTACATATAAAATAATAATTACATTTTATTAATTTTATCAAAGTAACTGACATTTAATAAATTCAATTAAATATTTTAAGTAAGTAAAGTAAGTTTTAATTTGTAAGTACTTTTATCAAACTTCAAATTCTCCTAAATATTATTCACTGTGCAACCACTACAACACGATTAAAATGAATTCCATGCGCATATATATAGTAGTATAGGGTATTTTAGAAATGTATTTTAGGTAAGCGTATATCAATGAATTTCGATAACAAAAAATTAATTAACATTATTCTGAATATTACTTTTTATTATAAATTATAGTATGGTAATTATATGAAATATTAAATAGTTTACAAATCTAACAATAACATTAATTTTTTATAAACGATGGTTAATGTTTGGAGAAAATCAAAAAAATATAAAAATAATGTGTTATTTTAAGTTATACCTAACTAATAAATGTTAAAGGTCTTAAATCTTAAAACCTAATGATTAATATTTTGATGACGGCTTTACAGTTCACATTTCATTATTTATTATTATTTATGGTCAGTAATCATTAATCATTACCTATTTGGCTATTTATAATCAATGATGAATTATGTTAACCAAAACAATATATTATTTAACGAAGGGTATCATAAGATTCGTATGTGTATCATTATTCATTAACAAATTTAGTTATCGAACTAAATTTGCAGCATGCCAGTATATAAATAATAATAATTATCACTACCCGTCTACCCACTAACAAAATTAAGCACGTACAGATCTAAAAATGTATAAATTAAAATAGGAATGAATTTTATATAGATAATCAAAACGATTTGAGGCTAAAATAAGATAATGTTATTATCCTTATGGATAATAATAATATTGATTATGATGATATTCTCTTATTTTTTTAGAATAAAAATAAATGAATACATTTTATCATCAGACAATTTACACAGTAAAAATCAAAAAGAAGGTTACTCGATTTCTTTTCAAATACACTCGGATATAACTATAATAGTAAGTAATAACCATAGACCTATAATCTAACTTAGTTTATACGTCTATGGTAGTAACTACTGCAAACAGCTGTTAAAACGTACTATTTGCGTACAGTTTAAAGATAAAATAAGGGTGTGTCCCACTATCCACCCTATTACACCTCTAATACAATGTATAAACTGATCAACAGATCCATGACCATGTGTAAAATGTAGATCGCATGTATTGCAGATGGTACCTACCTAGTACCTACACAACGTTTGAGAAAATAAATGTATATACAAAAAAACGTGAATTCGTGTACAAGTTATTTATAGATAATTTTATCGAAGAGCTGGTAAGCACACACCGCCATGAGCTCTGAAACGTTAATTATATTTTAATAAATATATAATATTATAATGCGTTGATATGTGTAACGCTTAATTCCTATGTATGTGCAAAAAGTGTTGTTTAAGTTCGGATTAAATAACAAAGACATATCCCTGTAATAATAATAATAAATTTGAACAAATAATGACAACACTATATTTTAAAGAAAGAATAATTTTAATAATCAAATTTAAATGCAAACAAGAATGACTGACGTAGTGACGTCGTTATATTATACAATATACATTATTATTTTGTATGCGGACAGAATATCCAAAGATACGCACGGTAAGTAAAATTGAAGATACAACAAGCATGTATTTTGATGAACTAAAATGCGTCTCCGCCAGACCGTGTCAAATTAAAACAACAATTATAAGAAGAAAAACGAGGTTTATTCACCTGTATTATAATTGGTTTAATCCTGTGGTGGAACTGTGGTGGTGTTTAACAAGACGTCAAGACGAGTAGTCGACGGTAATATATTATAATGAAAAAAATTATAAACTAGAACATAATATAAGTAATTATTAAAAAGTACCGACCAACCTACATGTGGAGTTCCTATAATGCCTTTTTGCAACTTAACTTTTGCACATTATTTTTTACATACCATGGATTTTTGTAAATTCGATTTTTGTCTGACCACATTTTGTAAAAAAAAAAATGTTGTTTAACGATTTTATTAAAACAATACTAACACGAATGACGCATTATTGATTCATTGCATTCACTGTGTTTTATTATTCTATCCACGTAATAACTAATAAGTAATAATATATTATGAACTTCCTTCGGTGCACCACAATATTATTATTTTTAAAACAGTTGTAACAACATAGTTATAAGAAATTATAATTTAAGGATGTATGAAAAAACTCATACATAAACAAAATATAGTACCTATAGTATGCTATATATTATTCTATTGGATATAATTGCTTATATTTAAAATTTAAATTGTTAACTATACAAGAGCATAATATAGGATGTAGTTATTAATGAGCCATATCGAATTTCTTCACAATGAATTTTCAAAAATTAAATACGTATAGAACTATAGAAGTATAGTTGAGGTCTTTTAATGCACGGCGAATGATCATACAATATACTTCATATTAATTGCAGAGTTAAATATAAATTGTTAAAAATAAATCAGAAAAAACGCAACTAAGTATATTTTAAGTATAATTCAATGTTATAATTAAAAATAAAAATTAAATGTATGGGTAATTAAAATGAATGAGTAAATAAAAAACATGGAATATTACTTCTAATCATATTAATGGTAATCAAATTAACCATGTATAATTTTATTGTATTAATTACCATGACAAATTAAATTTTAAAACTTGATTTCAATAAGATTTTTGTTTAATAAAAGGGGTCAATTATCTGTGCGTAAGATAAAAATATGTAAAATTATAGGAAAGCAAACAGGTTTTAATGCTGTGAGTTGAATTCCACACAAATTACTAGGTGCTGTAATTTAGTACAGAAACTTTATTCACAAAATGTCCATCATTCACGGGATTTCAAAACACGTACTTATTTAATATTATTTTTAAAACTTTCCTATTGTAAAAATTACTTGTCCACAAATTGTTAGATGAATTGTATTTAATTGAATGATTTTAATTATAAACTAGTAGTTAGGTATAATGATATATTTTGTTGTTGACGTTTTTGTATAATATAATTTATAATATACCTCAATCACAATGAAATAATTGTATATAATTTAAAATAATAAAATAAAATTTTTTGCTCACAGGTTATAAGTTAAAATAATATCCATATTAACCGAGAACTATTTTAATTTACTATTTATTTTAAAATAATCAGTGTTCAGGAGTAACGTAACGAAAATAACATGTTATTTTAACGACAATACGAACTTTGTAACATGTTAACTATTAAATCATTTTGTTAGAATTATTTCAAAGTAACTGATGTAATTTAAATTACTTTTGATAAGTAATTCCAATAATATAATATTTTATCATTTCGAGTATTGCGAATTAAAAAAAACTTGTTTTAAGTGTTTATAATTTTTTTTTATAAATTATACCTTTATACTATTTTTTATTAGTCATGCTTGTCAAATGTGAAGAAATTGTGAGAAATACATGTGAACTATTTTTTTTTTATATGAAAAACAAAACTAATTTTCTGATAGAAAAGTAAAGTAGTTTCATGACAATTTTATTTGAGTAATAATTAAGGTAACAAGTAAAGTAACATACTCAACAGTCAACACTGTAATTCACAAATTAAAAAATAATACTGAATAGACTAAGAATCAGACACACGGTTTTCTAATGGCAAGATAAGATCAACCTAAGTGAAACCTGTGAAGTAACACTCACTATTAAACTGACAGAATGTTGCAAGTACATGGAGGAACTGAACAATAAATAATTATTAACTTACACCAATCCGAATTCAAAATGTTATCGAATGTTATATTAATTAGCTACTAACCTTGTTTAACTGATACATATTTTGAATTGAGAGCAGCAATAAAACTTGCTTGTGGTAAAGAATCTTCAAGAGTGAACAACTCATCTTTGGTAACTGTCTGTGATCGTGTTTTAAGAAGTGCTTTAGAACCAATTGGAGATAAATAACCACCAACTTTGTCTCTCAAAGCCAAAGACCCAGCTGAGTGGTACTCGAGTGAAAACAAACAATTGGATGTACATGTGTCTACTAATTTTCCATCTCTTGATAAATATTTATTGTTACATGTGTGAATGGCATATTTGAAGTCATCATCAGGTCGTAGTTCAAGGGTAAAAAGTGTATCTTCGCCCCAAGGTATATTTGCATCAACATGAATTTCATCCAAGTTTTCAGACAAATGAGCGAAACGTTTTCGTCCAACTGATCTTAGGTTCACCTTAAAATTTAAATAATATATTAAGATTAAATAAATAACTAAAGAAGGGTTGTCTTACTTAACATAAATTATATATTATATATATTTAATTAAAATAATTTTATTTACTTGGGGCCTTGCAGCTAAATGAACCAGCCATAATTCACTGGACCCTGCTGCTTTCGCTGTGCATTTGAGGTTATCTGAGGAAGCACCTAAGAAGTAACCTCGTACAACATTTTTCAATGCCCAGCTACCAGAGTTCCCATCAGTTACAGAAACTTGAAATACAGTTCCAGGATCAGTAGGATCATCACCATCACAAGTCACATTTCCAAAAGTATCCACTGCTAAGTATTTATCTAAATGGGATCGAAGTCGAATTGTGGTAGTAGGACCATCACTTAGTAATGAATTATTAGTGCTTGGTTCCAAGGTCCATAATTGTTTTTTTTTTAATGATGCACCATTAGCATTGATTTTGAACCCAAATGTTTCGGCTGTTAAATAACGTTTAGAATCAACATTGACCAATCCAATTGTCCAGCAACTGCATGGTGAAACTGAATGCTTAAGACCTCCTTCATTGATTTCATGATTATTGAACCCGTTCATGACTAAAGATCAATCTAAAAGTAATAAAAATTATCTTGGTTTATAAAAATCACAATAGGTTTAATTGTACACTTGTAACCTTATGTTTTAAAAATATTATATGAATTCATAAATTAATACAATTAAATGCCCTTGCTTTAGAGTTTAGATAATTACTCGGATAATTATAAACTTATAAAAATTATTATTTATATATATATATATTAATATATAAAACAACTATGATAACAATTATTTGTAGAGTTGAATTTTTAAATTAGAATGTATAGTGTCTATGTATAATTACCCTAGTATTTACTGAAAACAAAATCTGTATGGTAATACAGTTATTTTATTCGTTTATTAATTTAAAATAAAATAAAATAAAAATAGGTATATAATTATTGTTTTATTTAGTCCATCTATTGTGGATATATTAATAGTTCATTACTTTTATGTATATCTATTTTTAGACATATTTCATAAACATAATATTTAGTGAAATAAAATATTTTTTTTCTAAACTGTTTTTCTTATAATATATTATTTTTCTTTTATATAGGTATCAAATCTAAATATAAAATTGGTTATTTTCAACAATACTATACAAACAACAAACCGTATCTGTGTATCACTCTTAATAAGCACTAAGCACATCATTTGCATTACTTTCTGTCACCTAATGAAGCCTTCATGCAGCCTATAATCTATTCTGCTATTCAATATAGGTACATATGTTTATAAAGTTATTTTTATTTTATTATGGATAAAGAGTTCACCATAACCATGTACCAACAGGCAATCATTATAGATTATTTATCACTATAGGCAGTCTATAATCACATATAAAAGTAGACAGGTACATCAAATAGGTAGAATAAACAGTTTCTAATTTAAATTATCAATAAGTACGTAAATAACGTGATGGCTATAATACCTACCTATACGGCTATAATATATACTTATATAACGCACAATGCTAGTTATAATATACTTCTATAATATTATAATGCAGTAATTAATGTATAATAGTATTATTTTTTGATAACCTTAAATTTCAACTTCAATTGATTATAATTTATAAATTTACGTAATCTGGCTAATTTGTGCCAACTCAGACTTGTCAGTTGTCACAATATTGTAGTTATTTGTTAAGTTTGAAAAAATTCATAGGTAAGTAAATTCCAAAATGTTATAATATACCAATTTCGTAATATAAAGTTATTATTAGGTACCTCGTACCTACCCATTCAAAAATTATTTTGGTATCTATGACTAAAATCTATCTAATACCTAAACATTTTTAAAGAGGGTTTTCATTATACAAAATGGAACAACAAATGTAAAATATATTTTTTTTTAACTAATATACGGTGTACATAATATTTGTATGATTAAACAATACGTAGGTAACGTAATATTATGTTATATTATAAAATATAAATGTATAACATTTAATATTTTCGTGAAGTGTGGAATGTCTGACAACGGACAACGACAAACGTTAAATAAGTTGTATGAGTTGGATTGATCGATTCACAAAAATAATAATAATATCTAACATAGTATATTATAATATAGGTAATGATAAATCAGAAATTATATTAAACCATTGGAACCGAATAACGATAATGAAGGACCAGTTTTTTCTATTTCGTTGTTATTCCGCCGAACGTGCATAAAAACAAATGACTGACCTTTAAAGTTTTAAATATAAACCTTGTGGCATTTCGTTATGGAGAATCACGTTATATATACATATATTCGGTGAAGAATGCGTTCTGCAATAATAATTAAACGTACCAAAAAAAAATCAATCCTTAAGTTCATCACAATAACTATTATGATTTGTGACAAAAACCTCGTAAATCGTTAAACTGCTGGATCACTGGAGTGGTTGGTTTTTCACGAAATATTAATAAAAATGTTAATACATAATAAACATATTATTTGAATACCTACGGTATTGACAAATTACAGGCAGACAGGCTACACGGATTCACCAGCAATTAATCAATGCTACTACACAACCACAAACGCAGAGACGTTTAGTACATTATATATTTATATAGTACCGATTAGAACAAACATTAACGTTTCGCGCAATTGTGCAGAAATCCAGTTTGCTGACTATAAACCTTTTACCTTTGACTTTACTGAGGAAAAAAAAATATCTGCGCACAGAGTGAAAATTCCGTTGAAATAACCACTTATCGAACACAGTACAACCCCCTCCTCCTCCTTAACTCTTCGGCTATATAAATTATAATTCATTTACCGATTACGATATCATCAACGGGAGCCTGGTCTGTATAATATAATATTATTATTGATATAAATCTCTTATACTAAATAAAGCCCGTCGAAACGTATCGGAGAACGTGGACCGGCGATGACTAGGCACGCACCCTTTAATGGTTTGGGGTTGGTCACAGACGGGACGGCGGAAAACGAACGACGACCGCCCCCGCGGACACACTACGCACGGTTTTAAAGTACAATTCATACCTACCACCAAGACAAGAGCCCTTTTTATGGGGTGGTGGTGGAGAGGGTAGAGAGTATATTATCATAATAATAGAAATAAAACCTATTAATATTTAAAAGTAAACAACTATATGGCGAGTGGCGGCTGCGGGCTGCTGGAGACGACGGCGATGTATTATGAGCTTCCCGAAAATTCGATACAATCGTCAACACGAAATGATATCCGCAAGGCGGAAAATCGATTTTCGGCGCGACGAAAACGCTGCCAGGAAAACCCGCACGCCACAATAGTGGCCCGGGCCCAGGACGATGAACGCGAATTTATTTATGAAAATGTCAAACGACACGACGACACAGTAGCCGCAACGATCGTATTACAAATTTCTAATATTGTCGTCAGGACTCGAGGAGAGTAGCCTTTTTCCATTTTTTCTTTTATCGGACATTATGACATGTGTAAAATAGGTAACTGTGTTATTATTTCAATATTATATGTCACGTGTGCATACGTACCGATTGCGTTGTGGTAATATTTATTTATACGACGACGACGACAACAACAAGCTTTTTTAGAACGTGGAGAAGACGATATGCGTAAAAACAGCAGACAACAAAACGCACACACGATCGACACGCGCACACACGGAGAGTGCAACAACGGGACTGCGGGATTGCTCACTGCTGTCTGCTGCCGCCGGTCGAGTACGATTCCCGTACGATGTGATGTTGTTATTTGTTTATAACATTGATGACTGGGAAAGGGGAGGGGCTGCCGGTCGAGGAGCAGTAAGCCGGTGAGGAACGTATTGCCCCGCGACACCTATCGGATTGGAGCGACAGATGTGCCGTACTACTATTACCACTATAATATAATAATATACTGATTACTGACGACCCGAAAGCATCGGTGGTGCGCGTAGCGGACGACGTGCGTCGAAGACGCTCCGACTGCTGCAGCAGGCTACCCCACACGTCTACCACCAGTACCGCCTCCGTAGCGAAATACCACATCCGCTACCACTATTACCACTGCATACCACGGTCCCAACGCGCACGCGTGCCGTGCCCTACCTTGAACTCGACACTTGTAGTTTGTAGTTTGTAGTTTGTACAGAGTTGACCATCACAAGTCACAACTCACAACTCACAATTTCGCGTACTCTTCCGCCGCCGCCCTCTGTATTTTTCGTTCTGTTCCGTTTTACTGCGGTTTTACTTCTTCAGTTCGTTCTTCCTTTTATATATTTTATTATTATTATTATTTGATATTTCTATCCAGTATGATTTCGCTCACCGAACACGTACGACGTACCTGTATGGCTATATTATACCGTGATCATAGTACTAGGTACCTATTACCTATACATTATATTAATTGATATGAGGTATTTAAGTATCTATACCAAGTCACAGTGCGTCGCCATAAAATTACAATATGCCAGTACCTACCTAGTACTTATAATGGCCGTAGCCATTTTAATCCAAAAACGAGATACCGTTTTCCTCCTCTGTTCATTTTCTTCCGAAAAAATAAAAAATAATTCTTGACCATTTTGGAATTTTTCTTCAATAAATAATAAATAAAATAATAAAATAGTTAGGTAATATAAATAATTTATGCATATAAAAAAATTAAAAATATTCTTTATTAGGATTAATCGACAGCTGATATAGATATAGCCGATACCAGAATGTATCAACCGAAAATGTGATCCTAGCAGGGCTTGTATTTGAAAAAAATTCTGTTTTATGTTATTTACAATTAAAACGTTATCCAAGTTTTGCGTTTATCGTTATTCAGAACTAAAACGTTATGGATACAAGTTTTGCGTTTATCATTATTTAAAATAGTGTTAATACTTATATTAACAAAACATAACCCAAAACGTAATTTATAGGATATCATTGACCAAAAAATAACGCAAAACGAAATATTTTAAAATCTATTTATTTAAAAGGTCTATTGGTTTTGTAGAAACATTTATTTCATGCGACAATCTAAGAATTGATTATATTATATTTCGTATCCGGGCCATTACCTATACCTACCCGAATTGGTAATTATTTTTAAATTTTATAGGTCCTATAATGGGTCTATACTCTATAGACCGTATTTTATAAGGCCTATACAATTTAAAAATAATAACACATTGCAGTAGTGAGGGTTAAGTAAGATTAGTTTGCTTCATCACCATGGACATTGCACATTTGCACCTATATTCATAATCGTTTCTATTACTTATTAGTTATTAGTATATTGTATATTAGATACTACAGTCAACTAGCGATATAACGAATATCGATATAACGAAAATCTTGATATAACGAATAAAACTACCGGTCCCTTGAAAATATCGCAGTATAATATAATTTCGATGTAACGAACTTTCGATATAACGAATTTTTTTCTCGGTCCCTTGAAATTCGTTATATCGCGAGTTGACTGTATAAGTAAATATGATGATTTATAATAAATACTAATAACTATTATTATAATATAGACTATAAATTATAATATATTATGCACAACTGAG